GCTTAGGTTGTGTGGACTTCAATCCCCAGAATTCCCCAGCCAGCATGTTTTGAGAGGTGTGGACTTCAACTCCCAGAATCCCCTAGCCGGCATGCTTTGAGATGCTTTGAGCAACCAAAAGGTGGAAAAATAAAAATAAAAACCCAACCCAGCCTTCCTTCCTCCCAATCCGAGACTCCGCTCTTTGCTGTTGTGTCAGTTAATAACAAAACCCAGCGAGACTTTGCAGTCACTCAAGCCAGCTGGTTCTTGCTTGAGCTGTTAGATCCCGGCTGCGGGACCCATTCAAGGTCACGGGGAATCTCTGGTAAGGGATCCGGTGGCGAGGAAGCTTAAGGAAACTGGGAGGCATTTTAGCAAGGAGGTCATGTCATTGAGTGCAGAGATCTCCAACCTGGGCAACTTTAAGACTTGTGGACCCAGAATTCCCGCTTTTTTCTAGCTTACCAAGAAGTAGGCTGTGGTCTACTCTGTCAACCTGTCTTGCCACAGTTGGGAAACGAATCCCTGCCGTCGTTAAGCAACACAATTGTTCCACGAATCCTGCTTCCCCCTTGGCATGGCTTTGTCAGAAAGTCAGCAAGGAACACTGCTCTCCTGTCTCCCCTGGTCCTTCTCTTCATTAGACCAGCCAGGCCCAGTTCCTGTAACCGTTCTTCATATGTTTTAGTCTCCAGGGCCCATGCTTCTCAGTGAGCAGAGATAATAATAAGACCCATAATCCAACAACCTCTGGAAAAATCGCCTTTGCCCACTCTAGGAAATTCGCAGCTGGTAGGAAATTCACCAGGGGAACCAGAAAGCAAACTCCATCTTGCAAAGGGTTTTAGCCTTGCTAAACACCACGCAGATTTGAAACCCATCTCTTTTCTCTCACGCAAGCGAACAAACTTTCTTTCAACTAGAAACGGTGCCTACAAAAATGAGAGCATTCACTACCATTGTATTGTTCCCTCTCACCCCCCCCCCAAAATACACTCACTCAGCCTGGGATGGGTGTTGTAGTTGCGTGTCACAGCTTGAAAATGTTCCTTGACCCCATCTGGAGCTCCTGGCAAACCCCGGATTCCGACATCCACCTTGGTAGCCATGGTCCTTAAAATAATAATAAGAATAATAATAACGCTGGTTTGCAAGAAAGCAAGCCAAGCGTCCGGCAGTTTGCAGGGTTTTATACCGTATCCAGAGGCTGCTAGGAGCAGCTCTGACCAGCCCTGGGGTGTGTAGCTTTTGCACACAGCAAAAAAATTCTGTTTGCTGTAAACTTGGAGGCAGCTGCAAAGCCGGTCAGCAGGTTAGAAAGTTCCTGCCTCGCCTGTGCTGTGCAGGTTTGTCCCAACAAGGCTGCGATTTTCTCTTGGCTATGAACTTACGTCGGCCTTGGCTTCCTGCCCTTATTTTCCTGCCGTGCAAACGCGTTTCGGAAATCGGGGGGGGAGGGGGTTTCTTTTTGCCTGGTTTTGCAAAAAAAAAAAACACCCTTGACCAAGGAGATTCTTTGAGGAAGGCATGAAAGCAATCAGAGATGAACACCTATTAACTTCTTCAAACCTTGGTTGCTTCCTGATAGGTGGGCTTCAACTCCCAGGATTCCCCTGCCACCCCCCCCCACTCCCAATTCCGGGAGTTGAATTTCAGTCTGCCTGTCTTGAAAGTGGCAAAAGTCCTTGACCAAGGAGATTGAAACCAGGTTTAGAGGTGATACCTTGTTTCCCCGAAAATAAGACCCTGTCTTATTTTATTTATTTACTTTTTTGGCCACCAAAAGTGGCACCAGGTCTTATTTTCGAGGGACGTCATCCACTGATTAACCTCACTTGCGCGCGTCGCCTCTGGCCCCCTTTTTGCTGTCAGAGGCCTTGAGGAACTACTTCTTCTGTGGCTGGTAAGGCTTTCCCGAAGGCCTCTGCAACCAATAACAGAGCTCTGGATCGATCCAGAACTTTGTTATCAGTTACTGAGGCCTTCAGGAAAGCTTTACCTGCCTTGGCGGCTGCCGAAGAAATGGATCAGCAAGGCAGGTGTTGAGGGATGTGAGGCCTGGCTGCAACTGTCCAAAGGTAAGTAGTAGGGCAGATCCACTCCCCGGTCTCCACCCTAGCTTAATTTTTACCCATGTATTCTGGAGTGGATGGGATCTTAATCAGGGCTTATTTTGGGGGGTAGGGCTTATATTGGGTGCATGTGTAAAAATCAAGCTAGGGCTTACTTTCGGGGTATGTTGTAATGACGAGGCAGTCGAGTTGTTTGATCACGATCAACTGAATCATGATGAACTTTATTGGAATCTAGTCTTGCATTTATACACATTTTTAATTATCCTCCAACTTTGGTTAGCTTTGGTCACTGCTTAACTTTCGTTACTGTTTAGCATAATAGTAATTAACACGATTAATTATCTCTAGTTAAAGGCTAACATATGTTTACTTCCTCTCTCTAATCCTCCTTCAGATTAGTGACTTTGTTTGCCTGAGTTGTATTAGCTTGGAAACATTCTTTATCTGAGGTTTGCCATCCGAGATAGGAACATTCCTGCAATTACAACTCTACAGGGGTAGGTTGTATTTTGGGGGAAACAGGGTAGTTTTGTGCTATTAAATCCGAAGGTTGTCAGGGGGATTCTGGTAGTTGAAGTCCAGCCATCTTAAAGTGGCATACAAATCCTTGACAAAGGAGACTCTTTGAGAAAGGCATTAAAGCCATCAAAGGTGAATACCTTCTCCTGTTAAAACTCCTAATAACTTACTTTTTGCAAAGTTGGCTGATTTAAGATAGGCGGACTTCAACTCCCAGAATTCCCCTGGGAATTCCCCTGGCAGCGGGGTTCTGGGAGTTGAAGTCCAGCCATCTTAAAGGGGCTCAAATCCTCGACCAAGGAGATTCTTTGAAAAGAACATTAAAACCAGGTTGAGAAGTTTTAAAAGGACATTACAAGCAGGTTTATCTTTTGTGCCATTAAATCCAATGGCTGTCAGGGGAATTCTGGGAGCTGAAGTCCAGACATATAAAAGTTGCCATATTTGAGAAGTTTGGATGGAGGGTTGCACTTAATTTTGCTGGTGGTGGGGTGGGAGAGAAAGGAAACAGTTATACATGGACGTGGCTGCATCCTCCTGTCTCTTTTTCCTGAAGTTTGCGTCTTTTTGTTAAGAGAGATGTACTAAGGTAAATGCTCTTTTTAAACCCACGTTTTGACAGTGCCTAAATTTTAGGAGAAAGTAATGGATTGCATAAATACGATTGTCCATTCAAAGCTCAAATTCCCAGAGGGTCATATTGTCTTGAACGAGGGGTGGTACCTAATTATGGCCACATATATCGAAGCTTCAGCGCTGGAAAAATAAATCTTACACTCCGTGGATGGAAAATCTGATGGCCCTCCCCAACCCTGAGTGGATCGTGTGCAGGTAGTCCTCGAGTTATGGCCACAATTGAGCCACAAGCTGCTGTTGCTAAGCGGGATGGTTGTTAAGTGAGGTGAGTTAAGTGAGGTTGTTAAGTGATGGTAAGTTAAGTGGGGCAACCCATTTAACAGACAACAGATAATCAGAGTTGGAAGGGACCTTGTAGGTCATCTAGTCCAACCCCCCGCCCAAGCAGGAGACCCTACACCATTTCTGACAAATGGCAGTCCAGTCTCTTCTTGAAAGTCTCCAGTGATGGCGCTCCCACAACTTCTGAAGGCAACTTCTGTTCCATGGGTTGATTGTTCTCACTGTCAGAAAGTTTCTCCTTATTTCCAGTTTAAATCTCTCCTTGTTCAGTTTCCATCCATTGTTCCTTGTCTGGCCTTCAAGCAGTTTAGAAAATAGCTTGACCCCCTTCCTCCTCTCTGTGGCAGCCGCTCAAATATTGGAAGACAGCTATCATGTCTCCCCTGGTCCTTCTCTTCACTAGACTAGCCAAGCCCAGTTCCTGTAACCATTCTTCATATGTTTTGGTCTCAGTCCCCTAATCTTCCTGGTTGCTCTTCTCTGCACTTTTTCTAGAGTCTCAACATCTCTTTTATAGTGTGACCAAAACTGGATGCCGTACTCTAGGTGTGGTCTTACTAAGGCTTTATAGAGTGGTATTAGTACCTCCCTTGATCTTGATTGTATCTTTCTCTTAATGCAACTTAGGGTTGCATTGGCTTTTTGGGCTGCTGCTGCACACGGCTGGCTCCTATTTAGCTGGTTGTCCACTAAGACTCCAAGATCCCCCTCACAGTTCCTGCTATTGAGCCTGGTTTTACCTAATCTGTATGTGTACTTTTGGTTTTTCTTGCCTAAGTGTAGGACTTTACTTTTCTCTATATTGAATTTCATTTTATTAGATACGGCCCAGTGTTCTAGTCCAGGGGTCGCCAACCTTTTGGACTCAGGGACCACCAAACTCATAATTTTAGATCCCAGGGATCTAAAACTGATTTTGTGGGCATGGCCTAATTTGTGGGTGTGGCTTGGTGGTCATGTGACTGGCTGGCCATGGCTTGTATGTAAATATTTATATAAATATTGAATTTTTAATTTAAAAAAGAGCAACTTTTACCCAAAATCAGGCAAAGCAAGCATTCAGATTGAGTTGCTCACAGAATCACAGATTCATTCAGAAATCAATCTATCTGCAATTGGCTAGCTCAGTCTGTCACATAAAATTTGCTTGCAAGCAAACTCACAAAATGAACTCACAAAACACCATGCATGTAAATATTGAATTTTTTATTTTAAAAAAGACCAACTTTTACCCAAAATCAGGCAAAGCAGGCAGGCAGATTGAGTTGCTCACAGAATCACAGATTCATTCAGGAATCTTTCTATCTTCCATTGGCTAGCTCAGTCTGTTACATAAAATTTGCTTGCAAGCAAACTCACAAAATTAACTCACAACACACCATGTATATAAATATTTAATTTTTTATTTTAAAAAAGAGCAACTTTTATCCAAAATCATGCAAAGCAGGCAGATTGAGTTGCTCACAGAATCATTCAGTGATTGATCTATCTGCCATCGGCTAGCTCAGTCTCTCAAATTTGCTTGCCTTGAGTCTGCACTGAATTTGCTTGCAAGCAAAACTTCAGTCCTAAGGGAGGTTCGGCTGTGCTTAGCTAGAAAGCAAGAAATCCAACCATTTCCTGCTTCCTAGCTAATCTAAATCTCCCCGCACAGCAGAACAGCTGATGGTTGGAAAAAGGAAAAACAGCAACTTAGCAGACAAGTTTGCAGGTTAAGGAGTGAGAGGGCGGGGAGGGTTCCCACGGGCCTTGTGTTTCTGCGAAGCCTGGATTAATTGCTTTGCGGGGGGGATGCTCTGGGGGTGAGATTTCTCTGCAGGCCACCAAAATTTTCTCATGGCCCACCAGTGGGCTGCGGCCCACTGGTTGGCGACCACTGTTCTAGTCTGTCAAGATCCATCCGGATCTTCAGCCTATCTTCTTGGGTGTTAGCTATTCCTGCCAGCTCAGTATCATCTACAAATTTGGTAAGTTCCCCTTCTATTCCCTCATCTAAGTCGTTAATGAAGATATTGAAAAGTCCTGGGCTTAAGACGGAACCTTGTGGTACCCCACTGCTTACTTCCCTCCGTATAGACTTAGACCCATGAAGGACTACTCGTTGAGTACGGTTTGCCAGCCAGTTGCAAGTCCATCTAGTGGTGGTGCTATCTATCTCATTTTTTTTCTAGCTTCACAAGTAGTAGGTTGTGGTCTACTTTGTCAACCTGTCTTGCCACAGTTGGGAAATGAATCCGTGCTGTTGTTAAGCAACACAATTGTTGTCGGCTTTGCTTCATCAGGAAGTTGTAAAAAGCGACCCTTCCCCTTCCAGGACACTGCGAGCGTCATAAATATGAGCCTGGTTGGCAAATGTCAGAATTTTGATCATGGAAAAAAACAGCCATAAGTCACTTTTTTCAGCGCTGTCGTAACTAAATGAACTTGTTGTAAGCCAAGGACTACCCAAACGGAGGTTAGACTTTGTACAGGTGGTTCTTGACTTATGAACGCTAACTTAGTGGCCATTTGAAGGTGGACCCCTCCCCAAAAAGAAGGGGAGAAGGTGGGGAAAGGACTGGGGGGGCGGTCTTTGGTGCTCTCTGAACATTGTTGTTTTGTTGCAGACGTTTCCTGACCCAACTAGGTAACACCATCAGTGCTAGAAGGGAGGAGGAGGAGGGGGAAGGGGGTGGGACATGCTAGCTGGGGAATTCTGGGAGTTGAAGTCCACAGGTCTTAAAGTAAGCAAGGTTGGAGACCTCTGATTTAGGACATTTTTAGCAAAAACAACAACAAACCAAAACAGCATTTACTTCTCGGTTTTGGCAGAAATGCTCCATAATGAATAATGGATTCACTTAACAACGGTAGAATTCATTTAACAACTAGCACCCCCACCCCCCCCCCCAAAAAAACAGGTCACAAAATCTGGTTGGCCCCCATGATGATCTGTTTTAGGATGGTCTTGATTGATGACCATAATCGCAGACTCGATACAGCTATGTGGCAAGGATCAGCTGTAAGGAGAAATACGATGAAACCAGGGACTCATTTATAGAGTTAAAATAGGTTAAAAATGATCGTCATGAAAATACAATCTGAAATATATACACCTTGAATACCAGCATTAGACAGGCGTATATGGAATTCTAACCGTTTATTGCTGCAATGATGCATCATAATAAGTTTCTTTTGTTGTCCTGTCTTTACACATTTTTGTTCAGCCCCGCTTCTGAGTCTTTTTCCCCCTTTCTCTTGTGGATCACAATCACAATTTTTTGTGTGTGAGTTTGTTTCTTGGTTATGGATTAAAAAGCAATAACGATCATTAAATAAGTTTGGTTCTTTCTTTGCTTTAAAAGTAAGATTACGCTTTCTCCTCAGCAGATTTCCAATGTTTTCTCCCTCAAGTGCGTAGGAAAAATGGACCACCAGGTTTTAAGCAATCGTGGAAAATGTTTGGAGGAGGACAAAGGGTTTGTGTCTGTGTGTGTGTGAGAGAGATTATCCCCCTGTGATGAATACACAAGGCTAAAATTTGGAGTCAGCACCTTGATCTCAAGACACCCAAGGTCAAACAGGGGTCAGGGGGACCCTAACCCTATTCATTCATTTCATTTCATTTCATTTCATTTCTACCACTGCCCATTTCAATCAAAGACTCTGACCATTCCAACCACGAGGCTGGCAGGGACTTGGCTGTGAGACTCTGGATCCTTCCTGGATGAGGATCAGCGAGAAGGGGGCTTCACAGCCCTCCTCCTTCAACCCATCATCCCCAGCCGGTGGGGGACAGCCACCGAGCAAGGAGTGCAATGTCTGTGACTTAGAGCTGGCTTCTGGAGGGAGGAAGGGAGGGAGGAATGGAAGGCAGGAAGGAGGGAGGAAGAGAAGGAAAGGGAAAGAAGGAAGGAAAAAGGGGGAGGAAGGAAGGGGAAGGGAAGATGAAGGGAGGGAGGAAAAAGAAGGAAGAAATGGAAGCAGAAAGAAAGGGAGAAGAAGGGAGGGAGGGGGAGGGAAAGGATGAAGGAAAGGTGAGGAAGGGAGGGGAAGGATGAAGGAAGGGAGGGGAAGGGAAGGAAGGATGAAGGGAGGGAGGAAAAAGGAAGAAATGGAAGCAGAAAGGGAGAAGCAGAAAGGGAGAAGAAGGGGGGAGGGGAAGGGAAAGGATGAAGGAAAGATGAAGGGAAAAGGGGAGGAAGGGGAAGGATGAAGGAAGGGAGGGGAAGGGAAGGATGAAGGAAGGGAAAAGAAGGAAAAAAGGGAAGCAGCAGGAAAGGGAGAAGAAGGAAGGGAGGGAGGGGAAGGGAAGGATGAAAGAAGGAAGGAAGAAGAAAGTGAAGGGAGGGAGGATAGGAGGGAGGGAGGAAGGGAAAAGGGGAAGGGAAGATGAAGGGAGGGAGGGAGGGAGGGAGGAAGGAAAAGGAAGAAATGGAAGCAGCAAGAAAGGGAGAAGGGAGAGAGGGAGGGGAAGGGAAAGGAGGAGGGGAGGAACTAGAGAGGATGTTAAGATAACGAAAACCATTTCAGAGCTACTCCGTCGCCCTTAAACGTTGGGGCCAATTCTGCAACCTACCCCATCCGTGGGGTGGCAGGGGGTGGGGTGGGATGGAAGCAGGCAACGTCCTTCCCGCGGCCCCTTTTGCGGGCTGAGACCCCGCCCCCTTTTCTCGCCGTTTCAAAGGTGCTTCCATCTCCGGATGGGCGGCCTCTGGCTATGCCCCCCCCCC